ATAAAGCATGGCACAGAGCAAGGCTTCTGAGACCACCTGGAGAGTGAATGAATGAGCAAATGAATTATCATAGTCAACATGCTATAGTCATTTGTGATTGACTCGTTGAGCTTCCTTCCTCTACGAGCCGGGTCTATGTTCTGTCCCCAGCCTTGTTCCTATTCACTTGGTCCAGTTTCTAAGAAATGTTCTGACTTTTCTAGCACCCAGGTTGAGCAAGATCTCATGGAGGGTGGGTAGGTCTTTTCTTCCAGGCCCAGAACAACTCCAGTCTCATTCTTTTCCACCTGCAGCCTCTTTTCTTTAACTTCCAAAGAGGCAAGGTCAGAACCACAAAGCTCCCTCAGGCATCCTTCAGGGTGCTCCTCCTCCTACCAACTCTCATCATAAACCCATCACTCACTGGTGGTAGACAGGCACTGGCCTGAGCACACAGACCAACATTAGATTTTTGTTTATTATCTGATAATCTCCTTCCCCCCAACTGTGGGGCAGAGATCATACTGCTAAGCTCACCATCTTTGTGTTCCAAGTATCTGGTACTTAATAGACTCAGTAAATATTAACTGAATGAATGGGTGAGTAAGTGAGTGCTATGATCCCAGCAGCTGGGTGTTGTGAGAGCAGGTTCAAGACCTGTTCTTCTCCAAAGGGTTACCTATTTGACCATTCTCAAGGTCCGTTTGATGTATTTGACTTTTATGCAAGCCCTTGAGGGTGGAAGGAAGAATAAATAGTTCCTGCCCAGGTCCCTGGATAAGGATCAGTTCACTGTGAAATATTTGTACCACAGAGAACCCCCATCTCAACCCCAATCCTTGCCTGATTTCTCTCTCTATGGGAATTCTTTTCATCAGCTGGCTTAATTTATCTTTACATGAAACACAGAAACAGTGTGTGGTCTCATGTATGTTGTTAATCCTCACCCAAGGATATTTTCCTCCCATTGATTTTTAGAGAGAGTGGAAGGGAGGGGGAGAGACAGAGAGAAATATCCTCCATGAGCCTGACCAGGGCCCTGCAACCAAGGTACATGCCCTTGACCAGAATAGAACCCAGAATGGTCTGCAGGCCAATGCTCTATCCACTGAGCCAAACTGGTTAGGCCAAAAAGTTTTGTTTTACAAAGGAAAGGGCAGGCATTTCAGAAAATTGAGTGGAAAGAGCTGGGGGTGATAGTATAATCCTATATCCTATATAATAAAAGCCTAATATGCTAAGTGTCCAGTCATTGGGTCATCTGTTCAACCAATCAAAGCATAATATGCTAATGATATGCTAAGACTGCTCAACCACTCGCAATGATGTGCACTGACCACCAGGGGGCAGACGCTCCAATAGGTAGGTTAGCTTGTTGCTGGGGTCTGGTGATTGGGACTGAGCTAGATGGGCTGGACATGCCCTGGAGCCCTCCCGTGGTCCCTCCCTGGCTGGCCAACCTCCCGGTGGTGTCCCTCAGCCTAGCCTGTGCCCTCTCGCAATCTGGGACCCCTCAGGGAATATTGGAGAGCCGGTTTCGGCCCGATCCCGCAGGCCAGGCCAAGGAACCCTACTAGTGCATGAATTCATGCACTGGGCCTCTAGTGTGCTACCTAAATGTATTAATTCAAGCTGATGTTTGCAGCTCACATCTATCATGTCACAGGATTCTTAAACAAGAACCAGATTCAGGCCCTAGCTGGTTTGGCTCAGTGGATAGAGCAGCAGCCTGTGTACTGAAGGGTCCGGAGTTGGATTCCAGTCAAGGGCACATGCCTGGGTGCGGCTGGAAACCAGTAGGGGGCATGCAGGAGGCAGCCCATCGGTGATTCTCATCGTTGATGTTTCTATGCCTCTCTCCCTCTCCCTTCCTCTCTGAACTTGGTCGAGTTATTATGTTAAATAAAAATATTTTTAAAAAAATAAAAGAACCAGATTCAGGATTTTGGATTCTAATGCCAGATATTTCGTTGCTGGTCTTGTTCCACAGTACTCTTTGTTGTTCACCTAGCTTACTGAAGCCAACAAAGTAGCCGTGAAGGTGGCCCTGGAAACCTAGGAACTGGTGGGAGACTGGAAGTTTTCAGGAAATGCAGTTTTCTTCTCTAGAACGAGGGCCGGGTTAATGCATCCCAAGAGACAGCTTGTTTCCAGCTTCATGGACATCCTCTATGATTTAAGAGAACGTCAGTGGAATTTAACATACCATTCTTTCTTACAATTTTTTTTCTAAGTGTGCTCGAAGAGAATTGTTTTGGAGACCACCGAGAACAGTTGGCGTGGGGGGAAAGAGAAATTACAAATAAGTATCCTAATTCAGGATTCAGAGGCAGAGCAGCCTCTGTGTGAGCCATAGGGACCAATGCGGATCAAGCGTTTAAACAAGATGGTGGCCGGGGCAGGACCGCTCTATCTTTCCGGATGAAACTCTATGGCAGAGCGGAGCGCACAGCTGAAGCTGAGAGGGGTGATAAGCCGACCACACTAGCGCCTGGGAGACCGGAGCGCAGAGAGCTCTGCTGCGCATGTGTGACTGGGCCGGAGGCTGGCTGGGGGGCGGGGGGGCGGTCTTGAGACAAGGAGCCCACCCCACACGGCAAGTTTTCTGAAACGTGTGAGTCGTTTAGGTCCAGTTACAGCCGTGGTGGGGCGTTTCCTACAACGCATGCGTTCTAGACGAGGCTAGCGATACGGTGGCGTGGTCTTTTCAACGTCCGGCGTACAAACGACGTCTGAGGTGGAAGGGGTGGTCAAGCTTCCCAATACACATGCGCTTTGTGGTCGAGGCGTTTCCTTCAGGGGGTGCGGAGTCTAGGGCTCCTTATTGCGCAGGCGCAAGAACTGTCCGGTAGGGCTAGTGGTCTGTCACGGGGAGGGAAGAGGAGGTTAAAGGATTAAAAAACCGGGTGCGCCTGCGCGTTGCCTACTAGTGGGCTGAACTCAGGATTTGTGAGGGGTGGAGTCACGTATACACGTCATTGGATGGGTAGGTGGGAGGGAGGATGGAGCCTGGGGAGGATCTTTGCGCTTGCGCAGTGCGGGGGTGGAGGGCGGAGGAGCTAGATAGCACGCTTGCGCGGCTGTCACAGGGCTGCTTGGTTGGTCAGTGGGGAGTCGGCGCCTGCGTACTAAGACCCGTGTGCAGCAGCGGCGGCGGCGGCGGCGACGG